TCCTCAGACCAGAGAACCTTCTTCCAGGTGACTTCAGAGTCTCCACATGTCTTCTGGTGAACTCTGGTCCAGATTTAATCTTAGCTTTTACCATCAGAGTCTTTCTCTTTGTCTCCATAAAGCTTTGATGGTGAAGAACAGACAACAGTTGTTGTAGGAACAGTCTCTGAAGCTGGAAACTCCTTCAGAGGAGTCGTAGAGCTGCCAGATTGCTGCAGAACCACAGACTCTCCCTCCACCGGGGTTCAGATTGTGTTTCTGCAGTGAGATGAGCTCATTGTTTCCACGAACCAACAGTGAGGTTCAGGTATGAACAGCTTCATGCAGCTCGACTCGCTGCTCTGATTTCTGATCATTCATCATCTGTCAGTCTCTGATGTCATCCTTCATCACCTCAGCGAGCTCATCATCCTCGCCTTCATCATCGCCAGTAACTGTGACTCACACCAGACATTTCCTGGATCGCTGTGACATCACAGCACAGGTGTCAAATTACACCTGGTCTGATTCTTCTCCGTCTGTTTTAAAGTCACACAAACTGTTCGGCTTTTTCCAAAATTAAAAAGGTAATAAGATGAAACAATAACTAAAGGAATCCGTATGTTTACAGGTGAACCTTCAGGAGAAACGTTCAGCTTCTAATGATGATCCAGGTTGTTGTTGATGTCCTCTGAACTCCTGGTGTGATGATCAGTGATCAAGGAGATCAATAACCGATATCTGGAACTGTCAGAATTACAGTTTGTTATTTTTTTTTGGGACAAACTTTGATGAAACGTCTTTGTTTAGTTGTGTTTAATTAAACTAGTTGAAGTGATGAGTTGTTGCAGATCTAAACTGCTGTCACACATTCACACTGTGTTCTTATTGTTTGGATACATATATATTTATAGAATCTTCTTTTCCAGACTGTTTGTGTCCAAAGACATGAAATCAAAGCTGAAGTCAGTCTGTCATGCTTTTTGTCTGCTTGGTCACATTCTTAGTTATAATTCACTCATTTAGTTTATTCTTTCTCATTGAATTGAAGCTGAATTAAAGAACGGCTGCATGTTGTCCACCTGCCTGCTGTGTAATAATTCAGTATTTATTGTTCATAACTGTATTCTGTGTTAAACTTTTTTACACATTTCTGTTGTTGAGTTAAAACGCTGCAGTTCAAATGTAGATTTTGTGTCAGACTCCTTCTAAACGTGAACAAACTTCCTCCACATCTGAGGAAGTTTTCTGCTGAACTTCTTCTTCTGCTCTCCTCCAGACGCACAACGACACCACAGAAGAAGAGCGCGAGCCGAATCTGGAGCATTACGTCATGTCAGCAGACCCTCCCGCCCCCCCCTCCTTCCTCTCCGTGCAGCATCCGACCTCTGATTGGTCCGTCCGCCGGTGGCCTACAAACCCTATTGGCTGCTGCGGAGTCAGCTGCTGCGGACCTGATAGAGGACAGGAGGGAGGGATGCTCCGGATAAAAGCGGCGGCAGCAGCGTGAGTCGGTCCGCTTCCATCCGGATCAACGACGCCTCGGACCGGAGAAGCTCCAGCCGGACCCCGACCATCCCTCCCCGGCCTCTGAGCGGGACTCTGCCCGGCGGGGAGCGCCTGTGGCCGGCCTGCGGTGCCGCTGCGGCTCGGAGCGGCGGAGCGGGAGCAGCTGCAGGCGGAGGTGCAAGGTGAGAAGATGGGCGTCCGTCCGTCCTCCGGAGGTTAGAGGCGGATTCAGGGAGTATCTGTCATTTTTAGAAATGAACGAGCGCAGGCATATCAGAGAGATAAATGTTCCGGCATCCAGCAGGCTGGAAGTGAAATAAGATCCAGGTTTTTGTAGGAAGTAGAAGCTAGAAAATAAAACCCGTCATGTTTCATTGTCATGTGTGATAGGAGGTGATGACTCCGGTGTCGGTGCTACTTTCTCTCTCCTCCTCTGACTTCAGTTCACTGCTTCTCTTTAAATTATTCCTTCTTGCTGCTGTTCTGCATTTATTCCAGTGTTGAATTTCTTTAGTTCAGTTTTCATTTGATCTTGTTTTGTGCTGACACCTCCAGTCTGTTTACATGTGGAACTGATCCATTCATCAATAGCAATTATTTCTACAGCAGCTTTGAAACAAGTCAGACACAGTTCTGGATGCTGACAACAGATTCAGACACTAAGATGCACCAAATAAATACATTTTCAAGCTGCTGGCGCCAAAAAATCCCGTAAAACATGTAAAACATCCATCTGATAAAAACACCATGAATAGAATACGTGTTTCCCGTATGTGCGTATTTATTTTACCCTTTTGATGTTTGATGAAGAATATTTACATGTTTAACAATGATGTAATCATAGATAGATGATAGATTAATAGAGAAGGTACAGACATGTTTGTGTAGGGTCAGGACGTGGTTAGCGTAGCTTAGCATAAAGCCTGGCTGAAGCTCACTGACTAATGAACCCTGAACTGAAACGTAAAACGGATTTTATGGGGCTGGTATCAGTGAGCACAGGCCTGTGTAGCATCTCCTGAATGTGCAATAACTCCGATTACAGGAGAACAGCAGAATATTTGCTCCAATGTGAAGTTAAAAACTAAAAGTTCAGATTGACTCAATAAAAGTTCAGGCCTGACAGCAGAAACTCAACACAACTGAAGACAGTCCAGCTTCATGACTGAGGTTCTAATCTTTGCTCCACTTTTCCCTGGAAAACACCACAAAGGGCTTCTGTTGGACTCACACTGTCCAGGTCCTGGTTCCACTTGGTTCTGGTGTACAAGCTCCTGATGATGTTGTTCTCTAGATGTTCTCCTGCTGGAATGTTCCTCTTCTTCATCTGGTCAGCCAGTAT